TATTAGCGGGATGTCTCGTTTTCATTAAGTAAGTAAGTGAATTGTACCCCACCAGGACATCACACAGCGCGATTAAACACCCGATGACACAAAGTGCCACCATGCGGATGAGGATCCCCCGTGGAAATGTCCAAGTAACCTCGTTCAACCATCAGGCTATATTGCCCCCCCCCCCCCGGAAAAAGCCAAGGTGGGAGTTGACTGACTGACTTTTTACCCCACCAGGACACCACACAACCGACAAACACTCGGTGACATAAAGTGCCACCATGCGGATGAGGACCACCGTGGAGAGGTCTAAGAAACTACTTTCAGCCGTTAGGCCATATCTATGCCCTGGCTATATTCAGGGCCCCCGGCAGAAGCCAGGGTGGGGCTTCAAATAACGAAAAATTGCATCCCACATGGGGTATGACCGATTCATAAGGTGGGAGTAGTAGTAGTAGATTTTACCTAACTAGGAACTCTAAAAATAATAAGCCAAATAACGACTGTAATCTAGCCATCTGCTCTATTTCCAAATCCCGACTACCATCGAACCATACTGCTGATTGCAGTCCAAAGACCAGCAAACCTAAAGCCAAATACCAACTACCATCTGATATAGCTGACTGCAGTCAATAGACCAGCTAACCTATATAGCCAACCCAGCACACCATGACAGAAGCTGCCATGTCACCTGTTAAATACATTCAAGCAATCTATAAGTTCACAAGCGATAAACACCCGATGACACGAAGTGCCACCATGTGGATGAGGATCACCCGTGGAGAGGTCCCGCGTTTACCCATGAGGCCATATTTATGGCCGGGCTATATTGCGGGCCAGGGTAGGGCTTCAAACAAAAAAAAAAAAAAAAGAACGAAAAATTGCAACTCAAAAGAGGATGATTAGTTGGGAGTTCAAATTATTAGAGGAATATCCCGTTTTCAGCTGAACATATTATGGTTACCCTAGACTGAAGCTACTAAAAGGGCGGGTGCAAAAAGTAGAGTTTAACCCATTTGGTCTTCTTATATTTTCTGATTTCTGTGTGTGATCGAGTTTGAAGACGGTTTTATTGCAGCGGGGGAGGGGGCGGGTGGAGTTCTCTGTTCAAACGGCTGAAAGGGGTTTCTGTGACCTCTCCACGTGTGATCATCGTCCCCATGGTGGCACTTCATGTCGCTGGGTGTTTATCGCTTGTGTGATGTCCTGGTGGGCTACAACAAGCAAGCCAGCAATTTCACAGGCACTTCTATTACTAACTAAAAGCAGCTAACTGTTGACTTCCAATACGCCTGTCTTTACGCATAATGGCATCAGCCTGTTTCGCCATGTCCGAGATGGTTGCTGTGACGACGTCCAAACATTTTCTGAAGTTTCAAGTCTCTGAATCCACTAGCAAAGGCGCTCATATTGACTACCCCAACTTCCATAGACAGCACAAAAGTATTTATGAATGTTCACCACTTTTTTGTTCTGCAATATAATAATTCGTTGTTTGTTACTGCTCATTGTTCTTGTGTGCCATTTTGAAGGAGTACTGCAGCTGTAATTTCTGTCGGGATGCGATATAATTCGTTTACAATATACAGACATTTATATTTTAAAATATGCACAGTTTCATTTTTTTCATGAGATTTTCATAATTTCCCAAAATAACAGGCAGTACCGACTACTGTAATAGGTTAGCTCAATGATGTGACCTAGATCAGTAAAATATAATCACAGACTACAAATTACAACACTCTGTGGACAACGAAAGCTTAAAATAGGCTAGGAAGAGAAGCAGAAGAGAGGGAAAGTATTTATTTTCTTGTAACATTGTAAATATATATATATATATATATATATATATATATATATATATATATATATATATATATATATAAAAAGATCCCTTTACACGCCCTTAGGCGCATCGGGCATATGGGAAGAGCACCCATATTTTTACAGACCAATCGGCACTGGGTGGGTAATGTGGTCAGCATTACGCCAGCCGTCTTTACTTTCCCAGGAAAGCCCATCCTGGTACCCATTTGAGGCTGGGTCGACCTGAGACGTCCCATACCACGACAAAAATCCACGCAGCCTGCAGTGGGTTTCGATCGCGGTATGCTGGCTTTCGAGTCCGACTCGCAACGCCTTAGCCACGGTATGTTTGAGAACATCCGGTGATACGTGCAGCAGGAGCAGATCAAGCCTGAGCTTCATGAACTCAGGTGGGCCTACCCTCTGAAATTGTCCAGGATCTCGTGGGCCGAAACAAATGGGGACGAGGAATCACTTCTACTGATGATTGGTAGACTCCTGCTGTACATGCTCCAATGTGGAGGTTTTTTTTTTTTATTGGTAAAGGGCTCTTTTCAGCACCTTCAGGCGCATTGGGCATATAGGGCTTGGCCTATACTTTATAAATTAATCGGCACTTAGTGGGTGATGCGGTCAACATCACGCCGGCCGCCTTTACTTCCCATGACTGCACCTGGTATTCACTCAAAACTGGGTCGACCTGGCAGCCAAGATCATTTTAGGAAGGAAGTCGGGTTCCGTCACAACCCGAACTCAGACCTTCCAATTCACAGGTGAGCGTCTAGCCGCTACACCACGACGACTCCCATGTTGTCCTTAGGGGGGGGGGTGGGGGGGGGGGGAACAAAGAGTACCGTAATTTGAGCACATTACTGAACTTCATTTCTTAGCGACAAGTCAGAAAGAATCTCACGAATTAAAAGATATGGTAGTGGTAGAGAGTGCTAGAATGGACCATATCTTGAATAATGGGAAGACATAAGCAATGACAATATCATAGATACGAATGCAGCCTAATGTTCACTAAATTCAAAAGTCTTATTTTAAGACTTAAGACAAGTACAACAATTTAAATATTTGGGCGCATATATAACACTAATGGTAAAATAGACAGAGAGATTGAAGCAAGAATCCAACAAGCCAACAATGTCGCATACCAGCTTGCCCCAATTTTAAAACACCCTGCTGTCCCAGCTGAGATAAAAAGACAAATTATAAATACAATCTTTATACCGACATTAGGTTATCAATGTCAGACTTGGACATTAACAAAAGAACATGAGAGAAGACTAACCACCTGTGAAATGAGATGTTTGAGAATGGCTGCGAATAAAACCAGAAGAGATCGAGTGAGAAACGATGTGATTACAAGAACTATTGGAACCATACCCATCGTTAAATTTATTGAGAAGCAAAGAATGAAATGGTTTGGTCACCTAATGAGAATGGAACCAACGATGCCAGCATCAAGAGCATACAACATGAAAATCAAAACAACACGAGGCAGGGGAAGACCAAGAAGAAGATGGATTGAAGGAGTCACGGACAACTTGAGACTTCATAACATCACGGCATATGAAGCGACTGAGCGCGCCCTGGCTCGGTTGCCGATCATCTGATAGACTGCGACACCTAGCGGCACAAGCAGATTTTGACAAAAGAAGATATATAACACTTGACGGAGGATGTATTCCATAGATAAAGAACAGAACTGGACAAACTAAAACTGCTTTTTATAAAATGAACAAGCATTTTATGCAGTTTATACACGTCACTGAAGGTTAGAAACAAGAATTTGCTCACGCTATATGGTGCCAGATTTAACATATAGATGTGACCTTTAATAAACAAGCCAATCAATTTTCAAGATGTGCAGTTACAGAAGAATAATTAGAATTCACTGGACAGCAAAAAGAGCTACCTAGGTGTGGTGAAAGAGGTGGGGCCTCGAAGGCAGTTTAACACAAACATCAGAAAGAGACGGTTATCAATTGTTAGTCATGTTATGAGATAGAATTTACGTCTCTTAGTATTTCCCTCTACACCGGGTCAACCGGGCAGCCAATGCTATTTTATTATACAAATTTGCTTCCATGCGGATTCGAATCTAAGATCTTCAGTCCGACAGGCATGCATTTAGCCACTGTGCTCCCTGTGACTTTGATGGGGATTTACCTGTTCACTAAAGCTAAGTGTTTTAACAGGCGTTTAACTTCCAAATTTTTCAAAAATGACCTTGACTCCCAGGTTAACCCAGCCTTGAGTGAGTACCGGGTGCAGTCCCGGAAAGTGAAGGCGGCCGGCGTGATGCTGACCACACCACCCTTATTGTGCCGATTAGTCCATAAAGATATAGGTCTAGCCCTATATGCCCTAGACGCCTAAATGCGTGAAAAAAGGGACCTTTACTTTTTAACTAACTCCTAATATCCGAAATAGCGTATTGTGTGTAAATAGTTTTTCCTAGATTCCCTACCATCGTGTAGTGAGCTCTATTATGCTCCAGATTTGGTCCGAGAATACTGATTAAATCTGGCTTCACTGGTGGAGTCTGCTACACGGGTGGAATCTGCTACACGGGTGGAATCTGCTACACGGGTGGAATCTGCTTCACGGGTGGAATCTGCTTCACGGGTGGAATCTGCTTCACGGGTGGAATCTGCTTCACGGGTAGAAATCTAAAATAGCAAATGTATACAAATAGTGCTAGAGGGCCAATCGGTTTGGGAATATATGATCTAAATATTCTTCGACACCTCTTTTGGTCCAGGTATTTTGTCTCTTCACTGGTAGTTTGGTTGGATAATTACATTTTTTTTTTAAATTGTGTATGTATTGTTATTCATTAATTTGTATTAAGTGTTGTTTCTTGGGAAGTATGTTCATTTTCCTCCATACACGTTAGAACTGTGCATGCTTTTCTACAAATTAACCAACCCTTGTGTGTATTCGCGGTAGTCTTTTACAATCTTTGCTTGGCATGAAATGAATAGATACATATGCGTGTGCCGTAACACTCAATTATAGTTTAAACCGTGACCAGAGATCACGATAGAACAAGCCGACATTTAGTCACGCCACATGGAATCGCTTTCTGTGTCGAGAGAAATAGGCCAAATCTGCATCTACTGTTCGGATTCATAACCTTAGAAATTGTAGTCGTATTTGTTTAGTAGGCATATACTGGCAGTCAAACAGTGGCAGCGATGTCTCTAACCGTTAATATTGCACTTGTGGTTCTGTCAGCCATTGTACTTCGTTATTTCTACTTTACGGATTCGAGCAAGTCTCCTCGTCTAGTAGAAAAGTTAAATTCTACCTACGACTACGTTATAGGTAAGTGAGGTTTACTTTTTTTTTATGAGCGTCTCTAGCTTATCGTAACATGGAGGTACGAAGTCGCATGTGCAGTCGCCTCTGGCATGTGAGTTTGTCTGTTATCGGAAGTAGTTGACTTGAATATAGTACTTAACAGTACCTAAACAGAGTACCAAATGTAAGACATATATTTTTCAGCTTTACTTTAAGACACGTTGGGTTGGCACAAGCATCTTTTTTTAAAGATTTTTTTTTAAATCAGCTTTGGTATTTTCTTCCCAACCAAATAATATTACTAGTAGTAAATAAAAGACCTGGCCAGACCAGGTATATTTTATACTGGATAATTTCTATACTGCAGTAGCATTACAATACTAATGAAGACACTCAAGACAACAACAACAAAAGAGAAAGGTCAAATTTACTTCACCATCTTATTGCAAATTGTTTAGCTTGGGTATATCGTTTTTGCTACTTTCCCTGTGCCATCCGGTGTCCTTACTCACAACTCTTTACTGCCACCATTAGTTTTAAAAGATAACTCTAAACCTCGAGTCTAGTTTTGCAAATAAAGCCTAGATGGCACCTACTATATCCTTCTTGTCGACTAACATGCAGCCCTTGACTCCTTGCCTATGGAAATATAACTGTCTGAAAAGAAGGATTATTCAGATTCCCAATAAAATACAATCAAGAATGACAAAATGAACTTTTCGGCTAAGTAGCTTTAAACAGCATACAGCAAAGCAGACAATCCCCACTATGTATCTAGGTTATAAACTAAACTATATAAAATAACCTAGCTGTTTAGACCCTCAATTCTGCTGTTAAAAATAACCATCAACACTTGAAAACAAGGATCTGCTTCCGTTTGGGAGAATGGCACGGCTTGACAATACAGCGATCAAGATTCATTCCAGAGTTTAGGCTTTTTGTTGTTGCTTCAATAGCCAACAGCTCTGAGTCGATATGGTCTTGTTTGAAAACATGTAACGAAAAATCTCTTAAAGAGAGCGGCAACAAGCAAGTAGATGGTCTCTCCGGGCTAATCAAGAAACCTCTGAGAGTAGTGATTTATGTTTTATTGCCATCTATTTCACTTTGCAAATGTACTTTATACACAAGTAAATCAGTGAGCGATGCTTAACCCCACTATGACCACATAAACAGTGATAAACATGCACCCAACCCCCAGTAACAGAGTGTGTCACTATTCAGATGAGAATCCTCCAGAGCTAATCCCAGAAATCCGTTCAATCCTAAGGCTATATGAAGCCCCGACGACAAGTAACCCCCAAGTCAAGTCGGGGTGGAACTTTCATGTTTAAAAAAAAAACTGTCCTGTTTAGGAAGTGGTTATAAAACAAGTCAGCACCTGCTACTATATAGTGGTTGCTGTACTCCGTTTTTTTTTTTTTTTTACTATATCATTTAAAAAATGTAATTATAGAAGTAATTTGAAATCTGTAGAAATTGTAAGGAAATAATGAACTGACGAACAAACTGTAAGTATTGTGGACTAGTGCTGAGTCTATATATTACGATATAGTTGGGGGTAGTGGTGGAAGGGGGTGGATGTGTTTTAACGAACGATCTATGTATAATCAGTGTGACATAAAAACAGCTGTTGATAATGGTGATGGTGTTGGTAGTGATGATGATGATGGTAGTGGTAGTGGTGATGATGATGATGATGATGATGATGATGATGATGATGGTGAGGATGGTTGTGGTGGTGATGATAATGATGATGACGATGATGATGATGACGATGTTGATGATAAGATGATGATCATTATGAGATAATGAAGATGATGGTGAGGATGGTTGTGGTGGTGATGATAATGATGATGACGATGATGATGATGAGATGATGATGATGATGATGATGAGATAATGATGATGATGAGATAGTGATGATGATGAGATAATGATGATGATGAGAGGATGATAATTTTCTTGACCAGTAAAAACAATATCACAAATGCATAAGCAGTGTGGGCTGTTACGTCTATAGTTTATCCACGTTGACAATTCTCAGTGAAGAGCCGACAAGGCGCAGAAATAATAATCCAAAGTTGGACCAAAGTACTTGCCGCTGTGTGCTCGAGAGTACCTTGACTAGTGGTTTCAGCTGGGGGTGCATGGTATCTGTTCATGATGATATAAATAATACGCCTATTCTGATAACAGTGGCAAGATCTTTGTCCGACAATCGATGTAATTCGGCACATAATGCACGCATTGAAACATCAGCTAAATGGCTCCGATTTTGAGTCAACAAATGTTTTTAAAGAAAAAAGATACCCTCGCCGATGTAACATCAAAAAAAAGAGATGCAATCGGTATCGTATGGACACTAACCGATGAGCTGAGTTAGTCTTGTTGGTCTTATAGTTTATGCAGTTGTGATGCTGGTTCAAGTCTGCCAACAGCTTTGCCATCATTGTTACGTTAAATGTTCCTCCGTGAAAGGAGAGGCAATGACTTAAAAGTATTTGGGTGTTAGCTGGTATTTAAGGTCAATACTTCTTTGGGACAATCGCTGTTACTGAACTATTTTCTACACATTGCCTTGGATCATTTTAAATGCTTCGTTTATAAACTGTCCTACCCTGTAGCTCTAAATAACAAAACGTTAGCGTTATAAGAACGAAAGGTGGTGGCAGGAGAAAAGAAAAGTAATTAAACTATATGTTGTCAATGAGAGAAGGAGCCCGCTCACAATTATAATGCAAAGTACAATTAAGATAAAAATTATAAGACAACTTTAGACAAACCCTAGTAAAAAATATGTAACTTTATAAAACTTTCAAGGTACTAAGGAGCCACATACAATTGTAGCTTATAGTGTAATGTTTTCAGTGGGGTCCAGTCATTATAGTCCACTTGCCGTCGGTCAAACTGAAACGTCGACAGTATTTGAGTGGTGTTTGATTTTATTCCTTAAAAAAATGAAAACGTACAACGCATATTTTGTTTAGCCTTCTCAACCCCCTACCATGACAGTTACATCTAGACAAATAGACACGGACAAGCCTCAATACAAGAGCGGCTAGAGATAACAACAGACAGCAGAGTTTGACGAACGTCGGCTCGGGTAATATGCTCCGTTAGAAACCGATGGTTAGGAAGAACGAAATAAAAAAAGAAGAGAAAAAGAAGAATATTCCTGTCTTCTAGATTTGTTTATCTCGGTGTGTACACCTTGACCTTAAACCTTTAGCCCTGACAGCTTTATGGTTATCTTGCCGTATGAGATCACATGGGAGGATTATTACAGTTTGTGTACTGTCCGCTTGTTGTGTCTATCATCAGTTTTGTATATTGCTCAGATATTGATAATTCTGTTAACTAGAACTGTTGCAGAAGTCCTTAAATTAGCCTGTCACCCAACAATGTGATCAGCACACGATAGCTTACAACCTTCTGTTTGTAAACTTTACTCTACAGTTTATACTCCCTAGTCTACAACTTTCAGTTTATGTCCCCAGTTACAACATTCAATTTATATCACCCTGTCTACAACCTTTAGTTTATATCTCCTGTTTTAACCCTGTGTTTCCCTGTGTGGGTTCCTATGCCCTATTATGGGAGGGGGGGGGACAAGAATAGACCCACTGCCTACCCAAAAGCATGTCGTAAGAGCCGACTAACTGGGAGCTTCCTTCGAAGTCGGAGTGCATCTGCCTGAGAGGCGAAGAACCAGCAGCCTGCACACAAATGAGTCAGATCTGTAAAACTGATGCACATGCAACACTCAGGTTCTGGAACAGGACTGCAGTCCTAAAGTGGATGAACAACTAGAAGTTTACAGCTGGGGGGCGTGAAGAAGAAGCAGAACCTTCTGTTTATACAACCGTCTACAACCTTCAGTTTATAACTACCAGTCTACCACTTTTAGCTTGTGTCCCTCAGTTTGCAACCTTCAGATTATGTCCCACAGTCGACAACATTCAATTTATATCCCCCAGTCTACAAACCTTTAGTTTATATACACCAGTCTACAACCTTCAGTTTATATGCACCAGTCTAAAACCTTCAGTTTATATCCCCCTGTCTAAGACCTACAGTTTACCCCATCCCCCCAGTCTACAACCTTCAATGTATATCCCCGTCTACAACCTTCAGCTCATATCGCCCAGTCTACAGCCTTTAGTCCACAACGACCAGTCCACAACGCAAATTTTCAATCATCACTCCATAATCATTAGTTCACAACCACCAGTCTACAACCACTAATCCATAAACAATAGTCCTCAGCTTCCAGTCCACACAGCCTCTAGTCCTCAACCTTAAGTGTTGAGCGCTGGCCAAGTCCTCTGGTAACTCCTCGCAGCGCCATTCTCCTCAGACTGAAATCTATTTGTGCTTCATCACTTTTCGCTCCCTCACATGGGGCCTTCACAACGTCTAGCTTGTCCTACATCAGTTCACCACCAAGTGGTGCAGAACCGGCCAGTCTATCTGCCTGCTCATTTCCCAACACACTGGCATCGGCTGGAGAGAATATTCAAAGGATACTAACTACCAGGGAGTACAGGAGTGATGATTGCCCCTCTGCACGGAGCTTACCTTCTCCACCTTTCTCAACTGGCTCTGTGAGTCAGTGACAATCATGGCATGTGCGCACAGCTGATTTTTAAGCCAGCGAAAGGCAGCAGTGACTGCCTCCATTTCCATTCTCAAACATATGTCATGTCCATACGCTTTTGCTATAAACCCATATGCACTTCGTCTGCCCCTCAACACAGAGCCATTTGTATGGGTAATCACATGACTTCGGCATGAACTGTCATTAATCATTTGTTGAACTGATTTTTGCAGCACAAGCTGGCCAGTCCCTGCACTCACGACCACAATTGTAAAAATCTTGCACAAGTCTGAAACTTGCTCAGACACTTTGACCCACTCCTTACCTCGAACAAATGTATCAAGTCTGCACACATGTCTGAATAATGTACTATCTGTAATAAACTACCGCTAATATTCTACATCAAGTCTACAAACTGAATGTACTGCCTCTAATATATTACATCAAGTCTACTAACTGAATATACTGCCTCTAATATATTACTTCGAGTCTAATAACCTAACTGCAATATACTACCTCCAGTATTTCACCTCAAAAATATCCCTCTAATCTACTATCTCCAGACTACTACCTCCTATTTACTACACCCAGTCTACCACCTTCAGTCTACCACCTCCAGTCTACCACTTCCAGTCTACAAACAGTCTACTACCTCCAATCTATTACCTCCAGTCTACCATCTCGCTTCTACCACCTCCAGTCTACCACCTCCAGTCCACTACCTCCAGTATACTACCCCAGTCTAATACCTCCACTCTACCACCTCCAGTCTACCACCTCTACTCTACCACCTCCACTCTACCACCTCCACTCTACCACCTCCACTCTACCACCTCCACTCTACCACCTCCACTCTACCACCTCCAGTCTACCACCTCCAGTCTGCTACCCCCAGTCTACTACCTCCAGTATACTACCCCAGTCTAATACCTCCACTCTACCACCTCCAGTCTATCACCTCCACTCTACCACCTCCACTCTACCACCTTTAGTCTACCACCTCTAGTCTACCACCTCCACTCTACCACCTCCACTCTACCACCTCTAGTCTACCACCTCCAGTCTACCACCTCCACTTTACCACCTCCAGTCTACCAACTCCACCCTACCACTTCCACTCTACCACCTCCAGTCTACCACCTCCAGTCTACCACCTTCACTCTACAACCTCCACTCTACCACTTCCAGTCTACCACCTCCAGTCTACCACCTACACTCTACCACCTCCAGTCTACCACCTCCACTCTACCATCTCCAGTCTACCACGTCCACTCTACCACCTTCAGTCTACCACATCCACTCTACCACCTTCAGTCTACCACCTCCAATCTACCACCTCCACTCCACCACCTCCACTCTACCACCTCCACTCTACCACCTCCACTCTACCACCTTCAGTCTACCACCTCCAATCTGCTACCCCCAGTCAACTACCTCCAGTATACTACCCCAGTCTAATACCTCCACTCTACCACCTCCACTCTATTATCTCCACTCTACCACCTCCACTCTACCACCTCCAGTCTACCACCTCCAGTCTACCACCTCCACTCTACCACCTCCAGTCTACCACCTCCACTCTACCACCTCCACTCTACCACCTCCACTCTACCACCTCCACTCTACCACCTCCACTCTACCACCTCCACTCTACCACCTCCACTCTACCACCATCACTCTACCACCTCCACTCTACCACCTCCAGTCTACCACCTCCATTCTACCACCTCCACTCTACCACCTCCACTCTACCACCTCCACTCTACCACCTCCAGTCTACCACCTCCACTCTACCACCTCCAGTCTACTACCTTTAATATACTATCCTTGTTTTACTACCTGAAACATATAATTCCTCCAAAATACTACTTCTAGTCTACGATCTCCAGTTTACTAACTCCAATATATTATCTTAAGTCTTCTACCTTCAGTCTACTACCACCAGTCTACTACCTCCAGTATGCTATCTCCGGGCTTCTACTTTATTCGCCTCTCCCATGCAACACACGCTGAAGCCATGCATTTAAACCCACTGCAAATATGTGTATCTTCTTCAAACACCACAAAATGTAGGCTACGCCTTTCAACATTGCTAACTATGCTTGTATGTTGCTAAATATACACATTCGTCTGTTGAAATCTACAGAATCAGCGTTTGCTGTTAGCGACCATCAATTTGAGTGCCGCAATAAATTCAGTGATCCCATGGTACGAGTGTCATTTAGAAGCAAATACTGTCTGCATCTAACAAGGGCATATCATATTTTGTCAGCATGCATACAAGTAAAGTAACTCGAACTTTGGATCGTGGTATTTCTCATAGGTAGAGTATTTCTAGGTCATCAAAGCCTCTTATACGCATCGGGTTTGTGTGTGTGTGTGTGTGTGTGTGTGTGTGTGTGTGTGTGTGTGGACGGGGGATTGGGGGAGGTGGGGGGGGGGGGGTGTTAGTGTGTACTTCTGTAAACATACCTGCCAGTGGTGCAGTAGCTAGCAGGCGTAATTGTCTGCTTGTAACTATTGCCTGTCATTACCCTTTTTTCCCCCACTCTGGCGTGGTCCCCTCGACCGACCAAGTCTAAAATAAGTACCGAGAAAAAAAAACGAAATAAAGGCGACACGGGGAGATTGAAAATGTCACCCATGGATTATCATCTGGTCCATAAAAATGTGTGGCTAGGACCGAGGCCAGATGAAGATTCTCTGATGCCCTCAGCATTTGAAAGATTTTGATTCCCACCCCCGCCTTTCTTTCCAATTATCTTTGGTTTGGGCGTTGCGAACGCGCTTTATAATGCCGGGGTGCCGGGTTCGATCCCTGCTGCCGACGAAATGTCTTGCGCTCGTTGCAACACTGGTACAGAGAGATGACCGTAAAATGTGCCTAGAAAAACCACAACAGACCATTAATGCTAGGAATGGTTCTGCAACATCCTGTAAAGGATACTCAACTAACTTTTTTTTTTTTAATCTTCCCCAAAGAACCGTCTTAACAGTATTATGGACCCCTGGGAAAACCTGTCTGCTGGGGCCCCTACGACAACCACACATGAATGAAATGTAGATAATCGCCAGACAAACAGATTGGCATGGGGTTCCTGTGTTAAGACAACCTTTGTGCCCCCTTTATATGTAATTCAAAATATAAACATACATTTGCTGAGAAAATAAACGCCGAGCTCCAAGTCTATTGAAAATCCCCCCCCCCCCCTTTTCCGCCTACCCCCTCCTTCTCCTTCTTCTTTTGATGATGCCCGAAGCGCGTGCTTAATGATTCTAATATTAAATCCGGTAATGTCTAGAACCTATATTCTCCGTACACTTCCAATGTAAAAATGCCACCTCTCAGGTTTCATACAAAAACAGTACTTGTCAAAATCATCTTTCTGTCTGACAGCACATGTCAAAATCATATTTCAGTCTAACAGTGCATGTCAAAATCACGTCTATCTAACAAAAATTCCAAGTGTCTGGAAAGAAAAGAGGGATTGGAAGACTATATTTCTATAGCCTTCACTAGCACAATACAATGCATTTTCTTTACAGAGAAAATATAGTGTCAGACGTGCTTGTTTGTAGATTACCCACCTTTGCTCTGTTATCTACCGTTGGTTACCTATTCATACGAAATCGTGAAATCAGATGAATGCTAGGAATAAAGCCAGTTTTACAGGTCATCAAAGAACAACCAAAAAAGTGGTTTGGACACCTAACAAGAATGCCCTGGTACTATCTGTCACAGCGAGCCACATTAAACGTTACAACGGGTATAGAGCGAGTGGAAGACCTCGGAAAACATGGAGTGATGGCATTAAGAACAGCCTTACAGAAATGAACATCAGTCTTAATAGTGCTCATCACCGAACATTTCATCTCCCCCCCCCCCCCCCCCCCCCCCCGACACTTCGATGAGGTACAAGGTGGAAGAGAAGAAGAAGAAGGTTACCTATTCAAATGACTGTTTTAGAGCAGCTGTTAAAAACTATTATGACTTGCGGAGCCCATTTCCAAATCAGTTTCTCTGACTGAGGTCCTTAGGTCTACCGTTCTCGTACAGGATAAGTGAAAGTTATGTGCAAGGATTAGAAGACGATGGGGTAGAGATGGTAAGGAAGTTTAAAGTAAGGATGCGTCTAAACACTGTTGCATTGTCCTTGCAATGAAATTGTATTTTTAATTGTTTATTTAATTTTCCATAATAGTAAATTTATCTCAGCTAATATCAGTAGACATGATATTGTCAAAACCTGGCGCTATTCTTCGGGAGCGGCCCCGCAGCCAGTGGGAAATACATAGCTCTTTAACTGTTGTGGAGCACCGGTTAGGAAGACTGAAACTCTAGACTATACTGACTGTAGAAAGTGTCTAAAGCAGTTTCTGATGGACTTCCAAAATTTTTATCTAATGAGTACGAGGTCATAAGTTTCCAGTCAATTTCTGAGGCTCGATTTTGGAAAACAAGAATAGATCCACTGCCCCTCCTACCCCACCCCCTCCCAACAGGCAGAGGGTGACTAATTAAGGTTGTATTATTCAGAGTCGAAGTGCATGTCCCTCAAAGACAAGAAAACAACATTATGCACATAAATTAGCAGTTTACAGCTGAGAAGAAAAGACATACATATACACATGTAAACATGTCTGTCTGTCTGTCTGTCTGTCTGTCTGTCTGTCTGTCTGTCTGTCTGTCTGTCTGTCTGTCTGTCTGTCTGTCTGTCTGTCTGTCTGTCTGTCTGTCTGTCTGTCTGTCTGTCTGTCTGTCTGTCTGTCTGTCTGTCTGCATGTCTGTCTTCTCTCTTTCTCTCTCTCTCTCTCTCTCTCTCTCTCTCTGTATATATATATATATATATATATATATATATATATATATATATATATATATATGTCAACAGTGGGTGGAGGCTCAGCTGGATGTGTGGTGGCAAGTCGTCTCTCAGAAGACAAAGATGTGTCTGTCTTGCTGTTGGAAGCCGGAGAATTCGACAATGAGAACCCACATATTATCATTCCTGCACTAGGTGTCCTCAATTTTAAAAGTAACATAGACTGGTCGTACGAGACAGAACCTCAAGATGGAGTCTTGACCGGTCTACATGGAAAGGTAAGTATTTTGTATGCGATTGTTTTCATGTAATATACCCGAGGTTTCTTCCTCCATTGTCGGGGCCATGGCCCAGTGAGAAAGGGGGAGGAAGAGGTTTGGGTGTGGAGCCAGCTACCCTATCATGCATACAAAGAAATGTGCTACTGAAAATCGCTTGATAGGCGCCCAGGCAAACTAACCTGTCAAGTGGTGTGAGGTCTATAGAATCTACATATGCTGACTACTTAGCTCATCGGTAATGACTTTGTTCAGAAGGCGCCAAAAGTTTTGATTTTATCCAAGGACTACATATGAAAATGGTTTGCGGGTTATGTTTGTGGCGTGCAACAGGATAATGATGATATTATGATGATGATGACGATGACGACAATGAAAAACTTGAGGAAACATTCCATGAACAGAATAGAAAATATGTGCCAATATAAATTTGTACATGGGATAAGGTAAAATTGTTCAAGGAATCTATTCATTTTTTTTTTAAATCAGTATATCGTAATACAATCATGTACACGTCTTTAAAACGGTTTTCTCCAAAGCAAAGACAGTTGCCAACGTTACTAATTAATGTTATTTGATCGTTAAAATGGATATCAGAAAGATCCTCGTAATTAACTTATGGAAGCAATTGCTATTTTTTACAGCAATTAGTAACTTTCGCCTAACAATTTTCCCTAAACCTTCTTACAACTAATAGTCGCATCAATGATATTCATTATCCAAACGTTCATACAGCTACACATCCATGCAACTTTATGTTTTAACCCAACATTCAAGAAACCAGCTGTTCGATCATCTTTCTTGATCTATAAAAAAAAATTTAACCTCAGAAGAACCTTAAACAACATCCACAAAACGCATTCTTTGAACCTCCATACAGCTGTTATAAACGTTAACGTAACTCATTCGTTGAACATTCCTACAGCTGTTGGAAACATTATTGTAACTCATCATTTGAACATTCATACAGCTTTTCGAAACAATATTGTAACTCATCCTGTGAACATTCATACAGCTTTTCGAAACATTATTGTAACTCATCCTTTGAACATTCATACAGCTGTTAAAACATTAATGTAACTTATCCTTTGAACATTCATACAGCTGTTGGAAATATTTTTGTAACTCATCCTTTGAACATTCATACAGCTTTTCGAAACATTATTGTAACTCATCCTTTGAACATTCATACAGCTGTTAAAACATTAATGTAACTTATCCTTTAAACATTCATACAGCTGTTGGAAATATTTTTGTAACTCATCATTTGAACATTCATACAGCTGTTAAAACATTAATGTAATTTATCCTTTGAACATTCATACAGCTGTCAGAAATATCTATGTAACCCATCCTTTAAACTTCCATACGTCTGTTAGAACCATTCATGTAACCAATCGTTTGAACATTCATACAGCTGTTAGAAACATTAATGTAACTCATCTTTTGAACATTCATACAGCTTGTAAAAACAATAATGTAACTCATCCTTTGAACATTCATACAGTTTTTAAAACATTAAGGTAACTCATCCTTTTAACATTTATACAGCTGTTAGAAATATCTATGTAACCCATCCTTTGAACTTCCATACATCTGTTAGAACCATTCATGTAACTCATCCTTTGAACATTCATACAGGTGTTAGAAACATATGTGCAAACCATCTTTTGGAAATCTATTCAGGTTTTAGAAACCTATGTGTAAACTATCCTTCAAACTTCCATACAGGTGTTAGAAACATATGTGTAAACTATCCTTCAAACTTCCATACAGGTGTTAGAAACATATGTGTAAACCATCCTTCAAACTTTCATACAGGTGTTAGAAACATTTGTGTAAACTATCCTTTAAACTTCCATACAGGTGTTAGAAACCTATGTGTAAAACATCCTTTCAACTTCCATACAGGCGTTAGAAACATATGTGTAAACTATCCTTCAAACTTCCATACAGGTGTTAGAAACATGTGTAAACTATCCTTCAAACTTCCATACAGGTGTTAGAAACATATGTGTAAATTATCCTTCAAACTTCCATACAGGTGTTAGAAACATATGTGTAAACTATCCTTCAAACTTCCATACAGGTGTTAGAAACATATGTGTAAACTATCCTTCAAACTTCCAAACAGGTGTTAGAAACATATGTGTAAACCATCCTTCAAACTTTCATACAGGTGTTAGAAACATATGTGTAAACAAACTATCCTTCAAACTTCCATACAGGTGTTAGAAACATATGTGTAAACCATCCTTCAAACTTCTATACAGGTGTTAGAAACATATGTGTAAACTATCCTTCAAACTTCCATACAGGTGTTAGAAACATATGTGTAAACTATCCTTCAAACTTTCATACAGGTGTTAGAAACATATGTGTAAAACATCCTTTAAACTTCCATACAGGTGCTAGAAACATATGTGTAAACCATCCTTTGGACTTCCATACAATTGTTAGAAACATATGTGTAAACTATCCTTTAGACTTCCATACAGGTGTTAGAAACGTATGTGTAAACTATCCTTTAAACTTCCATACAGGTGTTAGAAACATATGTGTAAACCATCCTTCAAACGTCCATACAGGTGTTAGAAACATATGTGTAAACCATCCTTCAAACTTCCATACAGGTGTTAGAAACCTATGTGTAAACCATCCTTTAGACTTCCATACAGGTGTTAGAAACATATGTGTAAACTATCCTTCAAACTTCCATACAGGTGTTACAAACATATGTGTAAACTATCCTTTAGACTTCCATACAGGTGTTAGAAACATATGTGTAAACTATCCTTTAGACTTCCATACAGGTGTTAGAAACATATGTGTAAACTATCCTTCAAACTTCCATACAGGTGTTACAAACATATGTGTAAACTATCCTTTAGACTTCCATACAGGTATTAGAAACATATGTGTAAACCATCCTTCAAACTTCCATACAGGTGTTAGAAACCTATGTGTAAACCATCCTTCAAACTTCCATACAGGTGTTACAAACATATGTGTAAACTATCCTTTAGACTTCCATACAGGTGTTAGAAACATATGTGTAAACTATCCTTTAGACTTCCATACAGGTGTTAGAAACATATGTGTAAACTATCCTTTAGACTTCCATACAGGTGTTAGAAACATATGTGTAAACTATCCTTTAGACTTCCATACATCTGTTAGAAACATATGTGTAAACTATCCTTTAGACTTCCATACAGGTGTTAGAAACATATGTGTAAACTATCCTTTAAACTTCCATACAGGTGTTAGAAATATATGTGTAAACTATCCTTTAAACTTTTATACAGGTGTTAGAAACATATGTGTAAACTATCCTTTAGACTTCCATACAGGTGTTAGAAAAATATGTGTAAACTATCGTTTTGACTTCCATATATCTGTTAGAAGCATATGTGTAAACTATCGTTTGGACTTCCATATATCTGTTAGAAACATATGTGTAGACCATCCTTTGGACTTCCATACATCTGTTAAAAACATATGTGTAAACTATCCTTTAGACTACCATACAGGTGTTAGAAACATACGTGTAAACTATCCTTTAAACTTCCATACAGGTGTTAGAAACATATGTGTAAACCATCCTTTGGACTTCCATACAGGTGTCAGAAACACATGTGTAAACCATCCTTCAAACTTCCATACAGGTGTTAGAAACATATGTGTAAACTATCCTTTAGACTTCCATACAGGTTTTAGAAACATATGTGTAAACTATCGTTTTGACTTCCATATATCTGTTAGAAACATATGTGTAAACTATCGTTTTGACTTCCATATATCTGTTAGAAACATATGTGTAAACTATCGTTTGGACTTCCATACATCTGTTAGAAACATATGTGTAGACCATCCTTTGGACTTCCATACAGGTGTCAGAAACATATATGTAAACTATCCTTCAAACTTCCATACAGGTGTTAGAAACATATGTGTAAACTATCCTTTAAACTTCCATACAGGTGTTAGAAACATTTGTGTAAACTATCGTTTGTACTTCCATATATCTGTTAGAAACATATGTGTAGACCATCCTTTGAACTTCCATACATCTATTAACAAATTCATGTAACCCTTTTCTTAGAACTTCTATGCAGTTGTAAAAAACATCGATGTAACCCATCTTTCAAACTTCTATACAGCTGTGGAAAATATCCATGCAGAACTTATCCCTTAAACCTCCATACAGCTGTTAGAAACATCTGTGTAATCCATCCTTTGAATATCCATACAGCTGTTAGTGACGTCCATATAACGCATCCTTTGCACTTTAATACAAAGGTTAGAAACATCCATAAAATGCATTCTTTTAATTACCCTACAGTTGATAGAGACATCTACATAACTGTCGCGTGCGGATATGCACTAGAACGTACCAGTACTGAGTGAGCAAATAGGACATCAAAACAATACGTAATGTTGTTAAGGAATTGTCTAAGAATTCGGTGTATACAGTCTGAAGGAGACAGACGTGTGGTCGTGTCTCAGTGGATCCTTGAGGGCGCTCTACCCCGGGACTCCACTAGATAGATGCTAGAGACATCTGTGAAACATATCCCGTGACCAGTCAAAAGGTTGTTAGAGAAATCTTTGCAGCTCATTCGTTGAACCTCCATACAGTTGCTAGAGATAAGAGATGGTGGAATACTCGTACATGATAAGGCAGACGTGGCAGACGTTAGTGCCTTGTGGGAGAGCGTGTACAGTTCGGAGGAGCAAATGGATCACCACAGTCTGGTGAGATTGATGCAGCAGGGAGTGACAAGAGGTTCTGGCAGATGCTCGAGACTCAGAGGAAAGGCAAGACGGACGTTTGATCAGAATACTACTGGCACCATTAGTATCGGAACTCTTCGTTAGCTGCTGAAGATGGGAACGGAGCGCTTATGGGAATGCCTCGATTGCTGTGATGTCGGTTTTTGAATCAAATCAAACAGTTGCTAGAGACATCCGTGTAACTCATCCTTTGTACATTCGTACAGATGTTAGAAACATCCATAAACTGTATCCTTTTAACCACCATACAACTGACAGACATCTATATAACTCATCAATTGGGCTCCCATACAGCTGTCATAGACACCCATGTGAAAAATCCCGTTTCAGCTTCCTTGCAGTAGTATATTATGAATGTTGAATATTGAATTCGGAATCGAAATCATAGCACTCGGAACACTCCTAAAAGCTCTCCGTCCTAATCTTCAGTAGCAAGCGAAGAGTTCCAAATGCGAGGGCAACTGTCGGATTTTAAAACCGTCTCGCCTTCACCTCCAGTGTTTACCGTCGGCCAGATCCCCTTGTAACTCTTCACAGCGCCATTCTCCCCATACCGTAACGATCTATCAGTGCCTTCGCACTATTCAGTTGCTCCCAAATAGCCCTTACATTATCTAGTTTGCCATAATCTTTTCACCACCAAGTGGTGTAAAATCGGTCAATCTATATGTCTGCTCATTTCCCAACACACCGGCATAGCCTGGAGAAAATATCAAAAGGACGCTAATTAAATGGGACTTCTGAAGTGATGTTTGCCATTCGGCACGGAGCATGCCCAACTCCACCTTACTCAACATGCTCTGTGAGTCAGTTACAATCACGGCATGTGTGTTTAGCTGATCCTTACAGACTATGTTCATTCTCGAGAGAATGTCTTCTTAAAAGAATTCCCTAATATTGCTTCTGTGAGTTGTTCAATGGAAATTATTTTTTATTCCTGTAATGCTATTTTCACAACATTGAAACACAGTTATGTCCTGTCAGTGACGTCAGGAGAATTTGTGGGCATATGGTGTCAATCTGACACTATTTAATCTGAACATAGTGTGACCAGTAACATGTCTGTCGCCTTCAATTCCCAAAGCATTTCCCATCACACAATTTGTACTGAACCGACCAGAAAGCTAGCTCTTGTCTGAAAATAAATCTCTGAGAAATTAGAACGTGCACATCTTCAAGGATCATGAAAAACCCAAGTCCTGGAAAAGGGTTAAAGTCTGGAGGTGGATGTACAATCAGAACTTTCCTCCTGAGTTTACAGTTGATCAACACGATATCTTTTCTTCTTCTTCTGCTCCTCTTCCGTCTTCTTCTTCTCCTCGTCTTCCTCCTTCTTCTTATTCTTCTTTTTCGTCGTTGTCTTCTTCTTCTTCTTCTTTCTTCTTATTATTATTATTCGTCGTCGCCTACTTCTTTTACTTCTTTTTTCTCAACTTCTTCTTCTTTTTCTTCTTCTTCTTTTTATTCTTATTATTATTATTGATATTATTATTAATTATCTTCTTCTTCTTCTTCTTCTTTTTCTTCTTCTTCTTCTTCTTCTTTCTTTCTTCTTCTTTTTCTTCTTCTTCTTCTTCTTCTTCTTCCTCCTTATTCTTCTTCTCCATCTTCTTCTTCTTCTTCTTCTTCTTCTTCTTCTTCTTCTTCTTCTTCTTCTTTTTCCTCTTTTTCTTCTTCTTTTTTTTTTTCTTTTTTTTTAAATCTTCGTCTTCCTCTAGTTCGCTCTAAAAACGATGTCAACATGTTGTTTTACAGTTTACTACTAGACTGCGATATTTTTCTGCCAAAAACTTCCTACTTCCAAAAAAACCTAATTAGCCCCCATTTACTCCATACTTTTGGGTGCAGTGATTTTTTTCTTTGTTCAACAACAAAGAGCGTCAACAAATGGGTTCTGATAAGTCAACATTTACATTGTTTCAGTCATTATCACATATGTGTCATATCTGTATCCTTCTTGCTGCAGCGTTCCTACTGGCCAAGAGGTAAAGTTCTTGGAGGTTCCAGCAGCATCAATGTCATGCAGTATGTGAGAGCTTCCCGACACGATTATGATCGCTGGGCTGAGTACACCAAAGACGAGGGCTGGAGCTATCAGCACGTCCTGCCTTACTTCAAAAAGTCAGAAGACATCAGGATCCCTGAGCTCCAGAACTCACGTAATATGTCATTATGTAATCTCAGGGTAGCATTGCCAGTTGTGCTTCTTTCGTAAGCGTATTAAGGTATTCAGGTTGAATCTGTGTTGAACTGTGATTTGATTTCTTGGCGATCATGGAATATTAAACTCTTACTAACTTTTAAAATACACAGAATGGACAAAGGGAAAAAAAAACACCCACACAAACACAAAAGTAAATAATCATTATTCGTTATTATTTCTTATATTTACACATACATCATTATCATCAACGCCAATAATTTTGATGATGCGGCAAGGATTTATTCCAAGAAAATCACAATTACAGCCACCTGAAAGATGCTGTGGCTGTTCAGTTGTAGCGTTAGTATTTCATGTATGCTAGGTATGTCGTCAGCTGTCCCTTCAGTGTTATGAACGCGCTTCATAATTTCTATGCATACTGTTCTCTCCTAGCGCTGTGAGATTTAGCTGCAGATCTGTGTTGATTTTACTATGGTATTGAGAGTTCAATTTAAAAAACAAGCCGAACAATTTCGTTAAGCCTCGTAGATATGGTTCATAGGTGAATCCATATAATTCATTGGACAACCCACACACCCACACAACGCAACCCTGGTATTTTGTAGAGGTGAGGGCTTGAATGTTACGAGAAGGAGGAAACTAAAACATGTAGTGACAACTGGAAGGAACTTAGGAAAAAGAGACAGATGAAGGCAATGGTAGAAGATTCTTGACAGCCTTTTATCATGGCATGGCGTGGTGTCAGCATACGAACTGATACATGTTGTAGAAGATATCAGACTGTAAAGAGGCATGATTGCCCACTCCAGTCGACAAGGCATTCAATGATGATGGTGATGATGATGATGGTGATGATGATGACAATCGAGAAAGCAAAGGCAAAGTAATAAAGGTAAAATTGCTTTGACCGTTGGATGGCAAGTGGAAAGAGGACACATGGACGACTACAAGAAACCTGGAGAAGGTAAGTCGACAGGGAAATCGAATACCACGCGTTTAAAAAAACAGTAGGCCAGCAACAATGGATATACTTGTGAATGCCTTAATTATAAACAACGACATGAAGAGGATAGTGAATGTTTATGGGCCTACTTTTAGTTTTATTTCTGGCTGCATGAAACTTTCTCTCCACGTCTTTGGTGGTGCGCCAACTTTCATTGGCATGTGTTAAAACTATAATAGTTTTGGAATAAAAATATACAATTGGGTTTTAAAGCTATACAATTCTGAGTTCCATATTTTCTTCGGACTTTAAAAGCCGTGTTGTTTTGTTAAGGCCTGACGCAATTCTAGCGCATTAGCTTATGAGATTAACTATGGTTACATCAGTTGTCCTCAGCTTGTGGCATTTGATTTTTTTTTTTTTTTTTTTTTCAAGGGTAACAATAAACTGATATTTTACATTTTAAAATATGAAATTTTTTGTTGTAAATGTTTGAGTTGAGTTGAGTTAAGTCAAGAATTGACATCACAGCACTCGGGGAATTCCCAATCATGCTTCGTTCTCATCTTTAGCAGCCATCGCAGAGTTCCAATACAAATGGTACCGGTCACAATCTTATTATATATCCGTCTTGCCTTTCCTCTGAGTGTAGTGAGCCGGCCAGACCCTCTGGTTACATCCAGGTGCCTCATTCTCCCCAGGCCATAATAATCTTGTTTCTCTACTGATTCCGTTGCTTGTTCCCAAAGGGCTTCGACCACATCTGCCTTGTCATGTATCTATTCACCACCCAATAGTGCAGATCCAGCCAATATGTCTGTCTGTTCATTACCCACCATGCCAGCATAGCCTGGAGAACAGATCCAAAGTATGCTCACTACCCGTGACCTTTCCAGTAAAGCTTGCCACTCTGATCTAGGCAGATGTGGTCAAGGTCTGTTAGGAACAAGGAACGGAATCTCTACTGATTCCGTTGCTTGTTCCCAAAGGGCCTTGACCACATCTGCCTCTGTTGTGAATACAGTAATTACAAAAATTATTTTACTCACTGATGGCAACAAAATGTATCTCAAAATTAACACTTGGTAACATTTGTATTTTTTATATTTGATTTAATGAATTAATTGCCTTGTTTAAAATGTCATCTGTATAGTCTGTCCTTTAAATTAAGAAATATAACTTTTTTTCACTCTTTCTCTCTTTCTTTCTTCATTTCGTTCTCCTTCTGTTCTTATTTCTTTTTATATGTTATTTTTCTTGTTCTTCTTTTGAGAACAGGGGTCACACCTAGTTATTCACACTTTACTGAATGAGATCAAACTCAGACACTCATGTCTCTTCGATCGTTTCAGTGATTCACAGCTGTTAAAAGATTAGATAAAAGGACATGTTGATAGGAGACGCAAGACGAAAACGGCGTCGCGCATCGCTGGTAATTCAACAACAAACTGGCTATGAAAAGCATGTGTGGGTGTCTAATGTCAGTTACTTTCATCTAAATATATACCATACAAGTCAGAAATAAGTTGTACCCGTTGATGTACCAAATTTCTTGCACAAATATCGAGCCATGTGCCATGGTTACAACCTGGTGTCTTATGAGTCTAACGAGGAAACTAACCCATCATCAAGGCCTCACCTCCAGTGATATATAATTTTTACAACACTGTTATTATCATCAGCAACATTTTAAACATTGTTTGCAAAGGGTCTCATTACACTTTGCCAAAGACAAGACATCTCTCCGGTGGACGACAGGTGGGAAAAGAATACATGGAGTACCTCAAGAAACCTGGAGAAAGCCAGTACATGGAGTACCTTAACACACCTGGAGAAAGCCAGTACATGGAGTGCCTTAACACACCTGGAGAAAGCCAGTAGACAGAGAAATTAGGGAGTGTAAACTAACATGGGATATTACGTGCACAAATACAGCAGACAACATCTGTGTAGGGGGTGTCGCGGTAGCCCAGAAGCTATATACGTTTGCCTGTCAGCAGTTGGGTTCGAATCTGGATCGAGTATGATTTATTTTAATCGACATTGGCTCTGGGATCTACATGACCTAATATAATTTTGGTATCAGTAAATGTCACTTAACGTGAAGTCGGTAGCGTGATGTTGACAACATCTATTCCATGCCGATATGTCAATGAAAAATATGAATACAGTATGCATGTTAGCGCTGTTATATTTTGTTTCAGCTTACCACGGACATGGGGGACCACTGCCAATCAGCCACAGCAAGACGGTGGCACTGGGTGACACACTGATCAAAGCTGGCCAGGCAGTGGGGATTCCCTTCAACGAGGACTACAACGGAAGAACAATGGAAGGTGAGGAGGTCAACTGTAGTCAGAAGTTAGTACAGAGACAAGGAGCCACACATCGCTTGTCTGTGTTGATCGTGTTGCAGTCGGATACCCTGAAGTGTCAGATCTTGTTTCTCCCATTCCCGTCTTCCGTTGCGTCCAGCCTGTTAACTTTAAGATCTCCTTCTTTTTAGCGTTCATTGTTTGTAAGCTCTGGTGGAAAATTCTGTTTGTTCGTTTAATTCTGGACTTCGGTTGTTTCCGAAATTCGGTTCTACATATATAGCTTACTTGTATTCACACGGCTTGTTGATACACAGCCTCTCATATGGATGCACTCCTACTTTGATATGGAAACCCATATTAGCTACCTATTTACGATAACATTTTGTATGGTGGGAGAGGGGCATTTGGTCTATCCCCCCCCCCTTTTTTTTCCTTTGGGGGTGGGGGGGGGGGGACTCCGCAAACCTCACGGGGAAAACATTGAAATTGTATCGGATTATTTTTAGAATATTTGGACAATAGGAAGGAAAGATTGCAAGGAAGGAATGCTAGCTCCTAGGCCTCATCCTAAGTATGGAAACTATACTTTTGCAATTGATGACAATGTAAATGTGACGGCAAGCAGGAACACATGTGACTTCAAGCAGGGACGCTAACACACAGAAAGGATGTGTGAGTGGAAGTGGGGTGCCCTTAGCCTCTTGACAAATGTTTTAGGTGTGGCCTAAGCCTTTTCAAGTGGGTTATAATTATAAAAAGTATTGTTGTTGATATTTTAATGATTATTATCTTCTTTTTCTTCTTTGCGTTCACCAGCTGTAAACTCTGGCGGAAAGTTCTGGTTGTTCATCCACTTCTAGAATGCAGTCCCGTTCCTGAACCTGAGTGTTGCGTGTGCATCCGTTTTACAGATCTGATTCATCTGTATGCAGACTACTGGTTCCTTGCCTCTCAGGCAGATGCACTTCGACTTCAAAGAAAGCTCCCAGTTAGCCGACTCTTACAACATGCTTTTGGACAGGCAGTGGGTCTATTCTTGTTTTCCCTATTAGAGGACTCCGGAGCCCACACACGAATGATTATTATTATTCCGCCGCAATGTTGACCAAATCACCCACTTAGTTTCGATGGGTCTATACAATTTAAGGTACGGAAAAATTGTTCTTTACTTTACTTGTGTTATTATTTGTATTATTATATGCTGAATCGCAAAAGAATATGTTGATGATTTTGTTTTTAAATGCAATGAATGAACAAATACTTACAAAGAGAACTCTAAACAGAGGGCTGCAGAACGGCTTAACCTCATTTCAATTTTATTTGGGGGAACAGGAAGGCTCAGCCCCTTCTAAACATCTTCTAGTTGAAGGGTGACCTCAGCCCACAGCTTCACAGGTTCCTGAGCGCCTGAATAAAGGACAGCTGTCAAACATCATGAGCAGATAACCAGTGTACTGATGGGTGATGTCTTGAAAGACATTGACACATCAAGTCTTTCATCGCACTAGAAGTAGTCAATCCATATTCTCAAAGCCTATCAAGTAAAAGGACCCTTTTCCACGCCTTTAGGTGTATAGGGCATATAGGGCTAGACCTATATTTTTTATAGACTAATCGGTATAAGATGGGTGATGTGGTAAGCATCACACGGGCCGCCTTTACTTCCCGGTAGGGTCAGGGAGTCGAAGAGAGGAGATGTTGGGCAGTTTGGTCTCGTGGCGAACATCTGTGGCAATAAAGATTGGCAGTACACGAGAAAGACGGCTATGGACAAACATAATAACCTTTGCCATAGCACAAGACCTACGCGAAGAGGTAAAGAAATATAACCATGAAGTTTGCCTTCTCTCCAACTACATACTTTATCTGTCAGTCTACGTTAAACTTTCTCATTTTTACATTTTGTTTAGGAATCGGTTATTCACAATTAAACATCCTGAATGGTGAACGCATGGCCACAAGTCGAGCATTTATCCACCCAGTTCTCCATAGACCCAACCTGGATGTGGCAGTGAAAGCACACGTCACCAAGGTACTGTTGTTGTTGTTGTTTTTCTACTCCTGGACTACCTCGCAGCGTTAGAACAGGAAGAGGTCTTTGCAAAGGGGGTTGGGGTGAGGGGGGGGGCCTTCTCTTTTCTTCGTGTAAATTACTTGTCCGTGTCTCCGATATTTATGCGGTCAATTGTTGGCGTCCTCTTCTGCCTTCTATTATCCAACAGAGTATAGGCTCTCAACCAATTCGCATCAAGTCGTTCTATTTTTCCTAATGCATGCAGCTCTCTCCCTGTTCTCTCAATCTTTTTAGCTTCACTCTCTAGCTCCCTTTGTCAAATGTGTTTGTGGGTTCCAGGGCAAAGATATTCTAGTTATATTGTTTATTGCTTTCTCCAAATTTGCTTAGGTGGGGCGTTTAAGTGTCTAAGCAAAGTTTCGGTGAATAATGGGAATTGTTATTACTACCACCGCTGCTGCTGCTGTTAACTCTACCACTGCTTCTTCCTCAGCATTTTGAGCCCTTGAAGTTCATTGCTGCAAATATCACCCGCCCTCTATTCATTTCTCTGGTTGGTCTTTTCTTACAACTGCTACCACTATTATGAATTATATAATTATCATTTAATAAATGGAAATTGCGTATAAAGTACTGTTAAGATAGCATCCAATGTATTCGCACATACTTGATTACAATTTTTAAACACGGTTGGGAAGTGGGTGGCGAGTCGATTAGTCCATATTACAAATTGTCCAGGCGCGGCAGACTGAGCGCCACCCCTCCCCAAACAATTGGTGTTGGTGTAAATTTGGGGGGAAAGAAGAACACAAAAGACATATGTTGCTTGGTTCCAGACACCCCCCCCTCCCCCCCCCCCCTTTTGTGTGTGCATATTATCTGTTAGACGAGGTCACAGATGCGGCATGGACCAGACAAATAACACATGTCAATGAGAGGAATTCAATTTCTACAATACATTTTGGCTGTAATAGATCTCCAAAATTGTTTATCTGTCGCCCTCTTTTTACCCTCTCTGAAAATGCAGTTCATCATCTGTGGTTTTTATCCTCCCTTTTGTTTCGCTGTCTACCTGTTGACTGCTTGCATTCAACTTTTTTTCTCTTCAGTGTGGATTCTGTAAGATTGCAGTCTTTTAATGTGACTGAAAAATGTCGCTGGTCTCTGTTGTTATTTCATTTATTTATTTATTTCAACAATTTTCTACTCACGTTCTGTCTCTTCTGAACCTCTGAACATGACTGATCTTGTCTTTCGCAAAATGTTAATGTTTTGTATATCAACGTCTATTTATTCCTAGTTCGACTTTTCGATTGCTTATTTATTGCCCAGGTTTATGCGTCATATAATATGGTTGATATCCTGACATCTGACAATTTTCATTTCCAGTGTTTTGTCTATCTCCCTAGACGCCACGATTGCGTGCATTTTGTTGATAGCTTTTCCTGTTATGTCAGTCATTTCCTTAAAACTTCTGATATCGCCTGTCACCACATGTCTGATACATGAGGAAAACTTAATCGGCTCCAATATCTCTTTGCTGTCTGCATGATCTGTCGTGTTCGTTGTTGGTCGTTTCTGTCCACTATTAATCATGCTTGCGAATTACTTGGGATGTATCATCATCGTGCATCGAACCATTCGGTCAGTAAGTGCTCAGATTCTCTCTTCAGTATCTCCCTCAGCGTGTAGTGGCTTATGATACCAGTTCTGTTTTGGTTTACTAATCTTCTTTAAGCCCCAGTGTAGCGCTCTTGTCTGGTTCACCATTTTTGATGTTATGTTCGTGTAGTCTCGTCAGTGTTGGAGATTCACAATCATTACTTGATTCGTTTAATGCTGAATGAACTTGGGATGTGTATTGTAATACACTGTTTTGGACAAGGGCGCCGGAGAATGGCGTCTAGGGCATCGTAGAAATCTACAAGATTACAACTTGGCTGTTCTAATTCCATATACTTTCCAATTTCTAAATAAGTGGGGGAAATCCCAAGTGCCGTAGTTTAAATCCTTTCAACCATTCTTTCATCCGTGTTGCAATTAACAGTGTGTCTTTACTGATCA